AATCATGCAGGGACAGGATGCATTGTAAGTTCCCAGCAGTGTCTTATTTGAATAATCTATCTGACAGTCCAGCTCTGCCCGCAGAATTCCTTGCTAGTATATGTTCAGATATCACACTTTCTGGGGCGAGATAATGTTGCTGGATTATCATCTTTGTGGCATTTAATAATTTAAAAATGGGTGTTCTTAAACCAAAAGTGGTTTACAAAGAATTAAAAAGTACAGTTCTCGCTCAAATCCTCCAACGCATACATTATGTATATATGGAAATTAATATCAAAACAGTAGTAATCGCTTTTATAATAGAAACTAGGCAAAATCAATGAACTAGAATAACAAATTGAATCATTACAGGAGGTCAGATGAAAAAGATTATCTTGACTATTTATCATAATGAGATATGTGAAGAGCTTCCAGACTTGGGAGCTACCAAAGAAAAGTCTCTGTCTTGCATATTTACAGGCCTAACCTCAGTGCATCATGACCCAAACATTCAAGGTACAGCAGGTTAAATTCTTTTGGGCTGTGGACAATGGCAGTCGGAGTCCAACATATCAGTAGGGCAAAAAGTTGAAGAAAGTCAATTTGCATGCTTGTGGACTACAGCCAATTGGCTGCTGAACCCCTGTGCCACCCCCTCACACACATCAAAGACTTAATTTCTGGTGATCCAGAGGAAGGGGCTGAAACCAGGATAATGGCCCCTCTAACAGCTTACAACAGCACTGTGAAAAGGCAACTCCAAGTATGAAAATAATTTATGAAAATAATTTGAAATAATTTATGAAAATTGTTGTGCAATTTTTTTAGGGAAAGGGACCAGAAAAGCAGGATTCTCCCTGGTAAATATAGATAGGTAGAGCTTATTAAGAGATAAAAGGTACACGTGGTTAAGGCAAGCATCCATTTCAATATTGAAAGCTAAACACCGCCTCCTTGTGGTAGAGCCTGGTACAAATACAGAAGAAATACTACTAATGGAGACAATATTGGATTATTTAACCTTTAAAATGCTGTTCAGTTTAGTTTATTTTAAAACAAAAACAAGCTCAGCATGAAGCTGAAAGGCAACCTGAAATTCAGGAGGATGATGGAAAGGCTACAACCACCATTTCCAAAAGAAGTGCCTCCTAGTGCACAGACGTGTAAATTGATTTTCTCCACCTTGGTCCTTGTAGATGTTTGGATTTCAACTCCCATTATCCCCATCCAGCATCAAACTGCTCCACTTTGAATGTTTTCAGTGGATTATAACAACCATCTGGGAGTCTTTTGAACAAATGCTTAATGACATTTGGTTCTGAATTAGGGTTACCATATGTGTATACTAATAAATGCATCTATTTGGAGGGGAGAATCCTACAGTGATGAAATCTGGTTTTCTGGCTCCTTTGAACTGGTGCTTACAAGTCTGTAAAAATGTGGGCTTCAAAGTGGATCCACTTGAACTTCAAAGATTGCTTTTTCTGGAAGCCTTGTCTTTTCATTCCTTGATGACTAAACCCATTAACACTACACATTTTGGAACTTTGGTACCTGAACAACTTAATATCATTAATTTGAAAAATGGAGCATTGTTATCACAGCTGTTATTTCCTTCATGACAATATAAGGAAGGCTCCGTATAGATTGCTGAGGTTTCCTTTGAATTTGGCTCTTGATGAAATAAGGTCCAATGACTCATTGTCTGTCTTACCTTGCTGAGTTTGGTCTTCATTAAATTTTGTGGATGTACAGATTTAACTGTATTTGGCAGGACCCAAATTTCAGAGATTTTCATATGGACATTTTGTGACTTTCTACTACAGTTCTTGCCATAATCCAATACACTGGGTCCTTGTACATTAAAAACCAGCAAATAAAAACACATACTGGATATACTATTTTGTATACAGTATGAAAATCTTTAATCCCACTGGTGATTGTTATGTGACATATCCACTGATATTACCGCACAGATAAAAGAGAGCAGGACCTCAGCAACTTCTCTATGTTCAGCCAAAGGTATACACAGGGTCTGCACATTAAAAAAAGGAATACTACCTCTTCACATATGAACTTATACGTCTGTAGGTTCCTTTGGGGAGTTATCCAAGGGCAGTTGGGCTGAGAGAAAAGCCAGGTAAGGGGAATACTTTAGTAACCAGTTTTTATTGGTTTTAAATGAACTTGTTTTATTCATGCCTGCTTAACAGTAATGACCAGTTTCAAATGTTTGACTGAGTGCTGGCTACAAATCTGAATAAACCACCAGAAGTATTCACCACCTTTGAAATATAATGGTCAAGCACAATACTTTCTTTATCTTAAGTAAGATTTTTAAAGAACCCTTGGAGGACAAGAAACATATGAGAATTCTACAGAGTGCCTCTTTAGTTCTGGACTCAATTCAAGGTGTTCATACTTACCTTTAAGGTCCTTAATGGCTTTGGTGGATAATACCTCTTTCACCTGGAGGATCAAATTCAATTTTGGCATTCTTGGAGGATGCATTCCAGTGAAAGCTAGAGCCAAAGGTAAAAAGGGGTGGCAATAAGATACCAAAAATATCTGAATATCTTAGCTTAAAGCTTTTAACTGCAAGTAATTAACTCTGAAGAGAGGCATTTCAATCTTTTAGAATGAGGTAAAATGTTCAAGAGGCAGGAAGCCACCAAACAAAGGCAGTTGAAGAAAAGCCAGGGAAAGGAGACATAGCCCTCTAAAGATTCCTGGAAGGTCAGATTGGATCTCCAGGAGGGCCAGATTTGGCTCACAGGCCTAAAGTTCCACATCCCTATTTTATGGCATAAATAATCTGTTTGTTGTTCACTGACTTCAGTCTATTGAATTTAGAAGGAAGGAAGGAAGGAAGGAAGGAAGGAAGGAAGGAAGGAAGGAAGGAAGATCCATTATATTAGATTTATTAAGCATCATCCTATGTGTGGCACTGGGACTGCAATAGAAAAATCTCATGGAATGCTTGCGCCCATATATGCCCTCCCGCCCCTTGAGATCAGCAACGGATGCCCTCCTCCGGGAACCCTCAGTGAATGATATTAGGAGGGTGAGTACCCGGAGGAGGGCTTTCTCTGCGGTGGCGCCCCATCTATGGAATGCGCTCCCCAGAGAGGTCCACCTGGCGCTGTCATTATTTATTTTTCGGTGCCAGACTAAGACCTTTTTATTTAAAACTTATTTTAATTGCTAAATTATTGTATTTATTAGGATTTTAAATTAGCCGAGAATGCACCGGGGGGGTTTAAATGGTTTTTTTTTTTTTTTTTGTATTTTTTGTGAGCCGCCCCGAGGCTTTGTTGCGATGCGGGCGGCATAGAAATGGTTTAAATAAATAAATAAATAAATGTGCAGGTCCACTCTTTGAATGAAGATAAAAAAGGAAAGGATAAATATTCAAGGCCTCTGAGCCCCAAGCTACTTCACTTTGCTGTGATGTTCCAGTACAAGCCAAAATTCTAGAAACACCCACTGTACCTTACAAGTATTTCCATGTTTGTATTTACTATAGAACTACCAAATTGGGCAGACCTTCATCCCAACATGCTGCACCAGTCTCATGAATTAGTTTTGAAAGACTCATATTGCTAATCTAACTAGGAGAGGCAGAGGGAGTTTCACCTTGATTCTGTTCATAGTGAAATTATTCATTGTTTTGATATGCATGTTTTATTGTGAGTAGTATCCTACTGTGCCTATGCACTCATGGGATCCACTGCTTGGGCAAGAGGACTTTTGCACATCTAAAAATAATCCCAAAAAGTTTGTTTCTGGAATGTGGCAGATTAATAAAGCTTGCAGAAGGGAGCACAAAAGGCCCATGCCACAAGTGGATCCTGCAAGCACTATGGGACCGAGCAGTCCTGCTGAATACTATGCATTGTTCTGAACTTTCTTTGCTACAGATAGAAACATATTTCTTAGGAAAGACATATTTCTATCCTAACGCTTTGTTATCCACTGTTTTGAGCATATTGTTTTGAGAGTCACACCATGCATTGTGCTGCACTACATCTCTGCTCAGCTTGACTCCTGACCACAACATCCATAAATGTGCTGAGGAGTCCACAGGGAACTGATTCTCACACTGCTAACACACAGTCCCATCATGTCCCATGCCTAGTATCTCACATAGTTAACATCAAGCCACCACATCATGCAGGTTTATCAACAATCTAAGTTTTTCTATGGGAAAACCTTCAAAGCAATGACACCATACATGCAGCAACGACAATGCCAAGAGGGAAGGAAGAGCCTTGCATTTAGTATTCCCTGTATTTCGTTTCACACAATTTAAGAGCTGCTGCACTGAAACCAATTCTCCTAGCACAATGTAACCTGGAAGAGACTTGTAGGCAAACTACCTCATTTGACTAGCCTCGTTTCTCATAACCATCTGTGATGATTCATCATTGGACAACAGAAGCTGGGCTGTGGGGAAGGCATAGAAAGACAACAAAGCTTTTGAACTTTTGAAAAGAAGAACCATTCTCTAGAGCACCAGCTACATTTGTCCCTCCCCCAAGAATAAAGACTGCATCCTACCTGTTTTCTGCAGCTGGTTGACATTCAAAAGAGTTCCATGATTTATTGTTGTTTAATGGAGGGAATATAATGCCAGCAACACGCTATTCAACCCCTTTGAAGACTAAGGCTGCTAGGCTCCAGGTCTCGCCCTGATCTAACAGTGTGTGGATAAGAAGCATGGCTGGAACAATTATGCCACTGAGGATCAAAAAGGATGGTTTCTAGCTACAAAGCCAAGAAGACCACAACAAAGACTGTAATGCAAACGTGAGTGAGATGCAAGGCAACTGAGAAGGCCATCTGAGCAAAAATGACTTTCTGTCTATTGTCTTCCTTGCTTTGAACTAAACAGAAGTTACAGAGTTTGACTAAACACAGTGCCAAAGAAGGCTGCCTTCCACCCTAGCCAGCACTTCCTCTCTCTGAAACAAGCCCAAACATTTTTCAGAGAGAAGGCACGCAGTCATCACAACACCATGGATCGATTCCGGATGATCTTCCAGTACTTTCAGTCTAATTCAGAGTCAGTGACAAATGGGATTTGCGGGCTGCTAGCTCTGGCAAGTGTAAAGATTTATGCATCCTTTGAGTTCAACTGCCCCTGCCTTGCTAAGTACAACATGGCATACGGCTTGGGAGTAATGTTCATCCCTCCAGTGGCGCTTTTTCTCTGTGGTCTCCTTGTCAACAGACAGTTTGTGGTGATGCTTGAAGAGTGGAAAAGACCAGCTGGGGACAGGAAGAAGAATCTTGCCATTATCAGGTGGGGGACTTCCATTCTAGTATAAAGGCCTTTCAGCCTAACAGTTTACTTATCCACTGCTCTCTTTTCTCCTGTGTATGTCTGTGGAATCTTCAAAGTTCTTAATTTAACATTATGTAGGATTTGTATAGAAATTTAATTCTTGTACTTAGCAAACAAACTTTATCATGCTCGATGACACTCTACTCCCACGAAAGATGTTATTATAATCCCCAGATACCATCATTAAAACACTCAACTCTGAAGTGAAGGGATGCTTCACTTCAGGCATGCCCAATGGCACATGATGAGGTATCCATGACAGGGGCAAGCTTTCAACATAGGCGTTCCAGAGATGCATCAGACATAGAGAAGTCTAATTAATGGTGAAATGGGAATAAGATCTTCCACATTTGTTTTTAAATCAGGAGCATCAGGGTGGTGATTCAGATCAGGTTTGTAGTGAGGGAAAGAGAACAGATTTTAACTATTTCCCTGCATCATTTCCCTGCTTGGCTCAGCACCTCGCCCAAAGCTTGTATAAGGCAAAATGTAGGGAGTTCTTTGCAAAGTTATATTTGAAGATCACAACATTACAGATTTTACAGTATTTCAGAGAACAATTCCTTGACATTGGGCCTGATTAAAAACTTATTCTGCAATGTGATATTTGCTATCATTTTATCTCTGGATTAGTGCTCTTCCTCCTTTCCAAAACACATAGGCACCTGTGTAGTACCTATAAATGTCCCTCTACAGAGGAAATATATGATAGCTGTTAGGAAAACGGGACATGTGAAAAAGCTACATTTGTCTCCCACAGCATTGCAGCCCTGATATGAAGACACTTTTGTTTAAGTGGGAGATCCTAGTCACAAGTCTACTTTCATTAAGGCTTTTAGCTAGACTGTATTAACTAGGTTCAGACAGGTTGATTACTGATACTCAAGGGCTGAGCGTGGGTTGTCTTTGAACTGGGAGTTATCACATCTGAACTCAGCTGATATATTAAACAATGGTGAACATCCTAGTAAGAAAGAAGCAGTTCTCTTCATGGGTTCTTCATAGTTAACAAGACAAGGTTTATTATCATAGCTAGGATCAGACTGCAAAATAATCCACATTTCAACAACAACCCATGGTTCAAGAACAACTCACACTCAGTCTGTACTCAACCTTTCAGTGTGAGTTAACCTGTTATCTGAGCCCAGTCATTATTACTAAGATGTTCCATGATTTTAGGGATAGATTTTGAAACTGTCAGTTTTACAGATTTTCAGGCACAGTTGCCTAGGATCAACCTCACTTTATAGGTTGTTTTCAGTTCCCTCAGGTACCTGAGCACTCTGCACAGATAACTAAACTTTTGGCAAGGCATGGTTCTGCCAGATATGTTAAGGAGATGACCCAGTGAGTTCTTTTTGCACTTGGACAGAAGAGCTAATTCTCTCACATTTCTGAGGAGCTTTTGCCTTTTTGCTTGTCCTCGTAATACTTACGCCCACCAAAAAAGAAAAGAAATATCTACAAGTCTCTTGTGTCATGCATGCTAAATGTCACTGGGATGATGCAGTCAGAAGTCAGTGAAATGGGCCTGTTTTCATAACTAAAACAGGTTGAAGCTCTTAAGATGGAACTATATATTGCAAGGCCAATATGAGGTAATGAATGCCACAGTTACATCAGACAGATAAAATTAATGTAGAGGAAATAGGAAGGCACAAGATGAAGGACGAAGCAATAAGCAGGAGGTAGTGCTTAACCCACCATTTTTCCACATTTCCACAATCTACTTGGGGTGTGTGTGTGTAAAACTCTCCTTAACTCTCACTCCCAGTGCTGGGAATAAGCAGAATATAAATAAACAAATAACAACTTCCTCTTTATAAACTGAAAGGTCTGGTATGTAGACTGTGGACTCTACTGTCCAGATAATTTCTCTTACCATTTTTTTCAGTTCCTGCAAAGATTCTCTTATCTTCGTAGAAAAAGCCCTCTAAGAAGTATGTGTTGTAAATATATATATATATATCAGATTAAGTGAATCTCATCCACAAAAGCTCATGCTACAACAAATGTATTAGTTGTAATACATGTGTTAGATACCACAAGAATTTTCCTTGTTTTTGTTGAGCAGACTAATAGAGCTACCCCACTAAAACATTCAAGCATGAGTCTCTTACTTCCCTTTGTACTGCTTGTATTAAGCAATTTCTGTGGCTAAATAGAAGGTCTCAGTTTTGAGGGATACCAGCTAAACTCATGCTTCTCTATCCAACACACAGGTATATGTGTTCCTCCATCCTACAACGGGCCATGATTGCACCTGTTGTTTGGATCATAGTTACTCTCCTTGATGGCAAGTGTTTTGTCTGTGCCTTCAGCAGTTCCATCAACCCTGATAAGTTTCCTGATTTTGCCATTAACATCACATCTTACGATGAGGTGCTGCACTTGTTATCCAAGGTCCCATGCAAAGACGATGTGCTCATGAGGAATAACACTTCCCGCAAGGCAGTATCCAGGTACCTCAGATGCTGGTCACAGGTAAATGCCATACATCTATTGGACCTCACCCTGTAGAATTTCTGATAAGCTCTTTGGGACCATCAGCCTGCTCCTGAAACAGCAATATTCACAATGGTGTGCCTTAAAACATAATGGTTCATCCTGAGATTAATGCTCTGGATCACCATTCTTTGTCAGGGGTAACCCCTTTATTCATTGGTTTCTGTAGTTTATGTCAGGAAAGGGATACAGATGATCCGTAAGACACACAAGCAGTTGTAGGTTAGCTAACAGTCACTGAAATACTGAGTCACTGTGTGACCTGCATGGTGCAATATGACTCAAACATAAATCTTTGGGCAGGTCACCTTCTTGCAACTTTTCTTTCCACAACACAAAGCTGGTGTGGGGATAAGTGAGATGAGGCTTCTGCAGCAGAGGTTTTTCCATCCCCACCATCATAAGGGATATCCATTCTTTCTGCTGATCTGTCCATTACTCTATCAGACAAAGGATGCCTCTTAGACTGGTATCTCAGCTTTGGCCATTCTGCCTTGAGGAACCCTGCTATGAGACCAGGCTAGTGAGAGAATCTAGCTTCCTGGTATCATTGCTTTTAGATTCTCTGATACTCTCAAACCCCTTTACTTCATTAAGGTGTGTATTGAAGAGGGAGTAACGCCTCTTCCCACTGCAGCATGTTGGACTAAAATGGGATGGAGAGCCAATGGACCTCCAGATGTTGCTGGACTCCAAATCCCATTAGCTGCAAGCAGCATGGCAATGGACACAAATGGTGGGAGTGTAATCCAAGAATATCTAGAGGGCTACAACTTCCCCACTCTGGACTAAAGGATCTGAGAGGCCCCTTAAAAAGTATCATTGTATGAATTCTAACTATAGAACAGTGTCTCCTATATTTATGCCTTCCTGCAGTCGATTGTGGTCTTGCTTGCTGTAAAATTCACAGGTTCTTGATTATATCTCTTCTACCCTCTAGGTACTTGGATGGAGTATACTGCTCATCCTTATAGTGATAGCCTTCCTTGCCCGCTCTCTCAGGCCCTGCTTCAATCAAGCTGCCTTCATGCAGACTCGCTACTGGAGCAATTACATTGATATGGAACAAAAGCTATTTGATGAAAGTTGCTGTGAGCATGCCCGGGAGTTTGCACACAAGTGCATCCTCCATTTCTTTGAGAGCATGCAGAAAGAAATCAAGCTAAGGCGGTTTAATGTCCACAGAGAAGAAGACAAAGAGAAAGAAGATGCAGAAGATCATTTGAGGGGAATCACCAACCAGGAACAGATGAACAAGCTTCTTCAGTGCTGGTACTCCAAGAAGCCTCCACTGGATCTGAGCAAAGCCACACAGTGGCCAACTGTGGGCTCAGAGAGAACATCAGCACCTTGGGCAAGCAGCATGAGTAACAGGTGGCATCCTCGGTCAGTGGCTGCAAGTGCCAGGCAAACAGATGTTTAAAAGGAAATGGAAACAGAAGCTATCAATAGGGGCCTTGTCTTTCTCAGTCTTAGACCAATCCTGTGCCACCTTTCCCTGTAATAGGATGACCATCGGGCCAGGGGAAAAAAAGTTGGCTTTTTTGTTGAAAACAAAAAAAAAGTTTTTGTTTTCATTTCCAAAGAAGAATGAACGTTTGTTGTCTTGCTGACAGACTTTGTACATCGGATGCAGCCCTGATCATACATTAACACAGTATTCAGGATTTAAAAATGAAAAGTTGTTTTGACAAGCTAAACTTATTCTTTATAATTCTAATATTCTTGTAATGTTGACAAGCTAAAAATAGTATTTCAAATATTTACAGAGATCAACCCAATTTATCTCTTGGTCCCTTTGATATCTATATCCTTGAGCTATGAACGCATACATGGGAGTAAAGGGAGCATGATCAGAAATATTGCATCTTCTGCACAGATCCATGGGAGGCTTCTCCATTTTAACTGCAGCATTTCTGTGTGAGGTTATAAAAAGGAGGTTCAGTTTCCTTCACCTATTGGATATTGAGTTTAATTTAATTTTAAACAGCCACACTCGGATAAAGAGAGTACAGAATTGAAGAATCTGATCTTCCATGTTTGCCTTTGTGTTGTAACCAAATTGGTTATTTTCCTAAGTAAGCTGCTCCTGAATGAGCTAGATGAAGATCTTCTTTGCATGCTGATTTTCATGAAAAGATATTTTTAACTTCTTCCATATATAGCAGAAAGTTACACATGCAAAAGAAGGGAAAACTGTTTGATTATAGAGTAAGTTATAGGGCTAGCCATCAGTTTATGTATTAATGTATTACGTTTTTGACAGCCATGATACTATTGCTGGAGGTAACACATCATAATCAGAACACTGGTCTTTTTTTAGCCACCCTCAGGCCCACCCTTCTCTAATTGTCCTTTCCTATGTGCTGTTTCCTCAGAACTTTTCTTCACAATCACTCTCAGAACCAACCTTTCTCCCATAGCCGTTCAAAGCCAAAAGGAGGGAACTTCAGGAATTTCACAAGAGGGCTACACTGCACGGTGTTACAGCTACATATTAAAGAATGTTAAACAATTGTAGAAGAGAAACATAAAATTGATGGTTGCATCTACTTATAAGGAGAATCTATCTAAAATGTTTTATAGATGATATTTATCTCCAGATAGATTAGCCAAAATGTTTCCAGATATGTCTGGAATAAATGTTGGAAATGTTTTAATAAACAAGGTACATTTTATCATATGTAGTGGACGTGTGATAGAGCTAAGATACTTTGGATTAAAATACATAGTTGGCTTGAATTAATGTTATGTAAATGTAGACCTTTTAAACCTGAAATTTTCCTGTTAAGCCTCATACCTGATGATTTTGACAATCAGAGCTTATATTTAGCATTGCATATTATTACAGTGGCTAGGATTGTTTTTGTCCAATATTGGAAGAAAGAAGAAGTAGGATTTAATAATACTGAAGATATTGGACTGTGCAGAGATGGACAGATTGACATTAAGAATGAAAAATAAAGAAGAGTCAATGTACTATGAGACTTGGAATTTACTCTACAAGTGGCTGGAAAGGAAGACATGGACTTAAAGTTTAGGATATCTATGCGCTCTATGAAATTGTATAGAAGAATTCAATGCTTGGCCAATTTATATGATGGGGTTTTTTGTTTTTTATCTTTCTGTTTGTTTTGTTTATTTAAAATGAATAAAATGTATTTTAAAATGAATAGAATATATTTTTAAAAAGTGTCAGAAACCTAATAGTGAAAATTTTAATGGTGATATTTCAAACAAGAAGTGCATGCTAGTGGTCCACTGCCATTCCAAGTTTTCAAACATATATCAGTGATTTGTACATGCCTTACATTTAGCTAGTGATAAATTCAAGCTCAGGCATTGGGGGCTGAGGTTCCACCAATGGGTGGAAGAGCAGGAGGGTCCCCAAACACAGCATGACTGGCTTACCAAGCAACGGAAGTGGTACCCATTGGCATCTAATGAGTCCTGTCCTCCATGAGATTACTACTTCCAGAAGGTCAACGTTCAACCCCAGGTAAAAGACTGTCTGGTAGCAGATGATGGAGAAAGACCTCAGCCTCAGAAGCAGACTAGCTGCTGCCAGTCTGAGTAGCAGATAACTTGATATAAAACAGCTTCCAGTGTTTCTGAGTGCTTTGCAGGCCCTTTTAAGGTTCTTTTTCTGGTTTTTCGGCAAGTACCCATTTGCAGATGAGGGTACTTCCAGACAGCAGGCTCCAATAGGAAGACATTGTGCAACCATACCGTCTTTTCTTTCCATTCTGTTCTGTTCTGTTCTGTTCTGCAGTAAAGAAAAAATGGAAGACATGGTGGGAAAACATGGGAAGATTAGCAGTGGAAGATGGTGCTGTCTCAGCCTTCCCTAAAACTCCATGAATAAGGCAGGGCAAAGGAACAATAAAATCCTTGTGTGGAGGCACTCTGATCTGATAGTCTTTCCATATGAAGCATTGATTGTGCACTTGTGATTCTTCATTCATGGTAATTTGGTGGCACTTGCCATGAAGTCGTCATCCTTTAGGACCCCTCCTATTCTTTGCCATCATTTCTTTGCTTTTCTTCAATTAAAGAAAATTTGGTATTATCTGTGAATGGGGGCATGAAACCTTTGTGAGTTTCTTCAGTTCTGCTAACCTTAGCATCACCTAGTGATTGTGTAATGGAACATATACAAGGTCAGAAAGCAAAAATTGCAGAAAAAAACATGTGAAGGAACTAATTGTAATATCTCGATAATTCAAAACATATGCCTTGCTAAATGGCAAGGTAAAAAATTCATGTGGAAAAGCCCTGTAAGGTAGAGGTAGGAAACCTCGCAGGCTGGGGACACATTTGATAATTTGAGAAACTGTTCTGGTCACTCTACCACAATATGGCTGCCATGGAAGGCATGCAAAGTACAAGTAATCTGCCCAAAACAGACAGAGATGGAGTCTGAATCTCCTAAATTCCTTTGAACCCAACAGTTTTCGGCACTGACAGAAACATATTTCATAGCAATCATAGCTAACAGTTACCAATAAATTAAAAAGTAACAGGATAGGGCCAAGAAATGTGTCCAGGGATGCCAAGGTTCTATAGGGACCATGTTGCCTACCCCTGCTTTCAGGGATTCTGTTGAGGCAAAATCCTTTTACAGCATTCTGCCCTTTGGACTGCTGCCACTGGCGGGAACTGAAAGTATTGCTCTGTAGCCAGGCAAATCAAGAGGAAATTGCTACTGATACAGAATTTTACAGAGAAAGAAAAATGATAACAGTCCTCCCAATTCATGCAACACTGACAGATTTTAGAATTTTTTAAAAAATATGTATCAAAATGGGAGCTGAGCAGCCACTGAGTTATATTTCTGTTCTTCAAGCTGAGTCTCCTTTTTCAAAATGGTCCCCACCCACATTGTTCTTTGCATAAGGGCTCTCCATTCTCTGTTCCAGGTAAGCTTACCAAGGTGGGGCACAGATTTTCCCTTTTTTCCTCAAAGCTGTGGGAGGAGCATGTGTCATTTGCCTACAAACACATTCACTGAAACCAGTGAGATTCCTTTCCTGGCAAAAATGCTGAGTGCCTGGTACAGATTCTAAAGAGCCACTGGGGAAAACGCCTCTCTCCACAAATAAGCCACTTGAAGTATCCAGGAGCTTGAAAAAAGATTGCACAGGAGAGATTACTTCCATGAAGAAAGAGTTGTTAGCTGTATTAAGCCAAAGTTTGTGTGACAATAGCACACCATTCACTTTTCAGAAGAGGGAATATAGTGCAGAGCAACTCACCCTAAGAAGAGTAGAGATTCACTCATGAGGTAAAGATAATAGCATTGTTTTCTTTGGGTGGCAAGGAGGAAATTGGGGGATATGTTTTCTGAATGATTAAAAAGGTGGTGCTAAAGCAAAAGCTAGAAGGAAATTGGAAAAGCACACTGGAGTTTCTTTACAAGCCCCCTCCCTAATAAAAAAGGAAAGGGACAAAATCTTCTATTTGAGCCTGATAAGAGAGAGCTCCAGTGACAAAGACGATGGATAAGTTCCGAATGATCTTTCAGTTCCTGCAGACCAACCAGGAATCATTCATGAATGGCATCTGTGGTATCATGGCTCTCGTGAGTGCACAGATATATGTGGCTTTTGATTTCAAGTGCCCATGTCTGCCAGGTTATAATCTGGCCTATGGAATGGGTATCCTGTTTGTACCGCCCATGGTCTTGTTCTTACTGGGCTTTGTGATGAACAACAATGTCTCCATGTTGGCTGAGGAATGGAAAAGGCCCACAGGGAAGCGACAAAAAGACCCGGCTGTCTTGCGTTACATGTTCTGCTCGATGGCACAGCGGGCGATGATTGCCCCCGTTATTTGGATTTCAGTCACATTATTGCATGGAGAGTGCTTTATATGTGCCTTCAGCACTTCTGTGCCTGTACAGAAGTTGGGTAACGACAGCTATACACAGCTACCCGAGAAGCAGATAAGGAAGATTCTGGCCCAGATCCCCTGTGAAGACATTTACACTGGCCAGGAACTTATTGCCAAAGCGGTAGCAACAAGGTACCTGCGCTGTATCTCCCAGGTAAGCAAAAAGCAAGGATTACAGGAACTGGCTTAAGCTACTTTTGTATGAAAAGTTGTTGTTCTAGTTGAGCCCAAAGAATGGCAAAGACCTTAGCTAGCAGCAATAGCAGTAATATGTCTCAGAGCAGTTCCTGCTCACTTATCATATTTACATTTTCCATACGTTATGAGGACCCCAAAACCTTCATGAGCAAAAGTTCCTTATGAATGGAATAGGGGTAAGAAGCACAGCCCCTGGGATCTCAAGAGGAATAGAACACTTCACAGAAAATGAGTTGAAAATGTTACACAAAAGATGTCTTTTTTATGCTATTACTGCCACTGACTCTTCTTACAGCAAAAGTGTTGCTTTATTCATTTATTCATTCATTTGGCCTTCATCACAGGTATATCATTGCAGCCTTAATATGTGCCAGTTTTGTAATCAGAGATTTGCATACATAAATATATTACACAAAATACAGTGCTTGATTCCTTAATGTAGTCATTGCTTGCATTATTTTCAACAGTAAGCAGGAATTAAAGAAGGCAGATAGGAGGCAAAAGGATGCACTCTTATGATTAAAATTCTCCTGCTCCAAACAAGCCTCCCATCTTTCATTTTCAATGCAAATCCAGCCAGCTATATCAAATGAAGCCCTCCTAAGCCAGGCAGATCAAGATAGTCCCTTCCTGTTGTTTACTGTGCCTAGCCTACATGTGTTTCCTGCATCTTAAATAGGATGCAAATTTTCTCCATGTTTTCGCTTTGGAAACAAGGTAATAGCCACTTTTTAAATCTGATTTGACTGTTTGTGTTTCCATCAATCTGTTGCTGCCACCAGTCTGTTTCCATTGGCACTGTCTGGTATTTGGACCTTGGTCCTTTCTGTGCTGCATATTAACTAGATGACCATTGCTTTTCTCAAACAATAAATATTAAATATGCATTAGCATAAATATATATTGTAACCATTCTTTAAGTAGAGCAAACACATTCCATTCCACTTGATGCAGTGTTAGTTGTTGGCATGCAGATAATTTACCCATTCTTTAAAAAACAAGTATCCCTAGTTAAGTATTTGACTTTGAAGGGTTATTCTTAGCATTACTGAAGCATGATATAAAATGTTAAACTGAAAAATATGTGGCTGAAAAAATGCACTCCATTAAAAATTGAGCTGTAAAGGTCACTGAAAAAAGTGAGCTTGTTTATGTGACATAAAACCATCCAGCCAGTTATGCCCAAGCCATAGGTTACCAGACAAGAGCTGTTGGAACATGGTTGCTCCTTTTGTATTTTAGCCAGAGGATCATATAAACTCAGGGTTAAGAGAAGTTTTTAAATAATGTCCAATTATGTTCTGGTTGAAGAAAACTAAAGCTGTGATCAAGGTTTTGGTTCAAAAATCTTAATGTCATCAAGTTCTATATTAGATCCTTTGATGGGAAATATATGTCTGCATGAGAACTGAGGCCAATCCTTTAGCTACTTAGCTGTAAGTCCCAGTGAGCACAGTGGGACTTACTTCTGAGTAGACACATATAAGCTTGCACTATATATGCTTTCATTCAAACCAGAATGTCCAAAAACAGCCTGGTACCTTTGTTTCATTTTAACCTTTGTAAGTAGTCCTGCATATCTGTATTCAAAGGTGAGTCAAATGTGAACCACAAATAATGGATGGCAGTAGGGCAGCTTCAGTGCAGGTGGATGCATTCCACTCATCTACCTTGTTTCTTAAAGGTGGACTGACACACTCTTCAGAGCCTGGAAGGTGCACTTTGTTTCACGTTCTTCTCTTTTAATACTGGAACTGAGCCTTTTTAATTAACATAAGTATAAATTTAAAATGTGTTGAGTACAAAATGAAAGCCAGGAAACCAAGTATTAATTCATGGGCTGCTTCATACTTGTCAGCTGCCCTTACATAAGCATTTGAGGACAGTGCAGATTTTTTGCTGGATGCATATCTGTTCCAGTCTACACCCCTCATCATGGAAATCTCAGTGCTGTTTATAACCAGCCATATGGAAATGCTACTCAGGCATATCTGCTTACAACATGAGCTAAGCCTCAAAGCAGCCCTGCAACTAACTCCCCAAATGATTTCTTGGAGTTGCCATTATGAGTCTTATGGCCCTAACAGTCTCATACTTCTGAAGCACAGAATGGTTTGATGCAGCTTTTTCTAGGCCCCTGCCTCATCCCCCAGCATGCTGTGTTATAACTTCTTTGGTTTTCCCCATTCAGGCAATGGGCTGGTTCTTCGTGTTGCTGATGACCCTGTTAGCATTCCTTGTTCGATCCTTACGCCCCTGTTTCACTCAAGCTGCCTTCTTGAAGAGCAAGTATTGGTCCCACTATATCGACATTGAGCGCAAGCTCTTTGATGAAACCTGTACGGAGCATGCTAAAAGCTTTGCCAAGATTTGCATCCAGAAGTTCTTCGAGGACATGAAGAAGGACCTGAACATGGGCCACATGCACTTTCCTGAGAAACCCCCTTCAGAAGCAGGGGAAGAGAAGGAAAAACTGCTGGGTGTCATGGACCAAGGGACTATGAACAAGCTTCTGCAGAACTGGCACAAATGCAAGCCTCCTTTGTGCCTCCACCAAGAAGTGATCCAGAATGGACACTGCTGGTCAGGAGATGCCACATGTCCCCACCTACCTAAAAGAGAGTATGCCATCTATTACAGCAAGGTCTAACAAGGGTGCATGTGTGGACGAATGGGCAGCATGTTTCACTGGAGAGAACCGCCTGCTGGGATCACTCCCTTTGGCCACACAGTCCCTTCAGTTACTCACATGTCACTGAGACAGCCTCTGGGAGACCCGCCTGGGAGTGTCTCTCTCACCGTTTTTGTGGGGCAGGACAGAATTAAACTCATGAGCATGGCATAGAACAAACACACACACACAATGCCCAGCACCTGGAGGAAAGGGATGTTAGGAGGAATATGGGGTGGCACCTTAGATTCCATAGCTATAGGGATGCAGATAGGATTACAACAAGAGAAGCGGTTTATCCCTGGCACAGGTTATACGCTCTGTGTTCCTTCTAATGAGAGGTCGATGCCCTGCCAGACCACAAAGGATGGCACATTCCTACTTGCCTCAACAGCCAGTCATATCAAATCTGGATTTGAAACCCCTGATCAGTTTCTTCCCTGCTAAGCCCTTCCCTTAACCCTGCTAAGCCTGCAGTGAGTAAGACACAACATAGAACTCTATTTTAATTTTTAAAGGGAAAATATGGAAGCGGTAACCACAATACCTGCTAAGGGACACACATCTACAGGTTGCAAAATGAAACCTTTGTTTTCAAGCCTTGCAAGGGTGTACCATGCACAACCGAATACACCAAGTTAGTATTTCGAAGGCACTAGAGGGCGCCATAAACTGAAAGAAATATCTGACCTTAGCAAGTAGGGTTATTCCCTATTTTATTTAATTTCAGACTTATTTAGCTTTGAATGTTATGATGTTCTATGAATCTGTGGCAACTTCTGCTTGGAGGCAATGTTTTGAAAGATAAGCAGAAGCAGACTGAATGGATGTGTTTTAAGGGCAGTATTACAAAAAAACTAATGGGGAAAGATAAGAGCCAGTTCAAATTAGCTTTTCCATAGCCAAGTATATCAGCATCTGTGCTGGGTTGGTTTCATGGTGTCTGGTCCTCTGATAAACACAAAACAGCTGCACAAATTATCTTGCGCATTTCCTTCCAAAATAGGACATTTCGTTAACATGTCCACTCATTTTGCTAATGACTGTCTTCTGGCTTCTTGTTTGCCTTCAGTGGACTCTAGGGGAAAAAAGGAATTCTGTTGATACAGGATGAGGCCAACCAACACCTCAGACATGAAATGGCCTATTACATTGATTTGCGTCTTCCTTCTTCAAATAAAGTGGCTATATATCATTGTGTAGTGCTCTGCTTGAAGGTATCCTCTTTGAAGAGCTATTCAGTTCAAGTCCAGCTTAAAGAACTGTAACAAGGGAAGAACAGGGATCTTGTACCTTCCCATCAAAACTTAACACCTGGACAGCTAAACGAGCAAACACACAGCTCACAATGGTTCCCAATGTGGTTGTGCTGTATTTCTATTTACAGTAATGTAAATTTGCATCTCTAATACAAATCAAAACATATTATACACATTTGCATGCTCTGCCTTGTCTCTGCTTTTGGATGCTACATAGGTGTCCATCATATAGCGGTGGGAACTTAACGTGTCCGCATAGAAGGAGGGACAGATGGTTGACACCTGTCCCTACTTCTGGTTTTGCTCCCAGCCAGAGGGTGCCGGGGAGTTTTGTCAGCCGCCCCTCGGGCCTGACGGTGCTGTTGCTTAACGCCAGGTCGGTCAATAACAAATCTTCCCTCATCCATGACTTGATTGTGGATGAGGGGGCCGACCTGGCTTTCATAACGGAGACCTGGGCAGGAGAGGGGGGGGATGTGGCCCTCTCCCAACTATGCCCACCCGGGTATCTGGTTCAGCACTGTTCGCGCCCAGAGGGGAGGGGAGGGGGGGTCGCTTTGGTTTACCGAGCCTCCATCTCCCTCACAGGACTTCCGGTCCCCTCGAGACCAGGGCTGGAGTGCCTCTACTTGGTGTTGGGCGACCGAGACAGATTGGGGATTCTGTTGGTGTACCGTGCACCCTTCTGCCCAACAGTCTCGCTGCCTGAGCTGACGGAGATCGTCTCGGACCTGGTGTTGAGGACCCCCAGGATGGTGGCCCTGGGGGACTTCAATCTCCATGCCGAGACTGATCTGACCGGGGCGGGTCAGGACTTCATGGTCTCCATGGCGGCCATGGGGCTGTCTCAACATGTCATCGGCCCGACCCATGAACGTGGACACACCCTGGACCTGGTTTTCTCGACGGGACAGGAAGAGGGTGGTCTGAGGGTGAGGAATTTATGTTTCACTCCCCTGTCATGGTCAGATCACTTCCTGGTGAGGTTTGTGCTCGAGAGCAACTTCTCCCTCTGTAAGGGTGCGGACCCGATTGTGTGGGTCCGCCCCCGGAGCCGGATGGATCCGGAAGGATTCCTGAAGGCCCTGGGGGAGTTTCCGGCTGACAAGACGGGTGCTCCTGTCGAGGCTCTGGTCGAACTGTGGAACGGGGAGATGACCAGGGCTGTAGACATGATCGCTCCTAAGCGCCCTCTCCCACCGGGCAGAGCCTGCTCTTCCCCTTGGTATACCCTTGAATTGAGGGCGATGAAGCAGGTTGGGAGACGGCTAGAGCATAGGTGGAGGAAATCACGTGATGAATCTGACCGAACACACTTGAGAGCCCACTATCGGGCCTATGCTGTGGCGGTGAGGGCGGCGAAAAAGAGATTTTTTTCCGCTTCCATTGATTCCTCACAATGCCGTCCGGCGGAGCTTTTTCAAGTGGTGCAGGGCCTGGTTTGTCCAGGCCCGAAAGAAGACCTGGTTCCACCCTCAAAGGCCCGCTGTGACGACTTTGCCAGGCATTTCAGGGAGAAAATCGCTCAGATTCGTCACGAGCTGGGTTCCACTATTGATACAGAGGTTTTAAGGGAGACGCCAATGCCGCCGTCTGGTCCAGAATTATTGGATGAATTTCAGTTATTGCGGCCCGATGATGTGGACAAGGTGCTTGGACGAGTACGTCCCACCACTTGCCTATTGGACCCTTGCCCGTCTTGGTTAATAAATAATTCCAAGCACGGGATTGGGACCTGGATTTTGGAAGTGATTAACGCTTCTCTGAGGGAGGGTCGGGTGCCTGCCCCTTTAAAGGAGGCGGTAGTCCGACCGGTCCTGAAGAAGGCGTCACTGGATCCAGAGATGGCCACTAACTATAGACCAGTGGCCAACATCCCGTTTCTGGGCAAGGTGTTAGAGCGAGAGGTGACAGGACAACTCCAAGCACTCTTGGATGAAACTGATTATCTGGACCCATTTCAGTCCGGCTTCAGACCCGGGTACGGTACTGAATCTGCCTTGGTCGCCCTGTACGATGACCTGTGCAGGGAGAAAGACAGGGGGAGTGCGTCCCTGTTGGTTCTCCTGGACCTCTCAGTGGCTTTCAATACCATCGACCATGGTATCCTTCTGGACAGGCTTGCGGGATTGGGGGTCGGAGGCACTGCTTTGCAGTGGTTCCGCTCCTATCTCGATGGCTGGTTCCAAAAGGTGGTGCTGGGGGACTATGGCTCTGCGCCATGGCAGTTATGCCATGGAGTACCGCAGGGGTCCATTTTGTCCCCGTTGCTGTTCAACATTTACATGAAACCGCTGGGAGAGGTCATCAGGAGGTGTGGGCTGCGGAACCATCAGTACGCTGATGATACCCAGCTCTACCTCTCGTTTTCCACCAATCCAGGTGAGGCAGTGGCTTATTGAACCGGTGCCTGGCCAAGGTAATAGGCTGGATGAGGGCCAATAAACTGAAGCTCAATCCAGACAAGACGGAGGTCCTGTTGGTTGGTGGTTCTGGCTTTGGACAGGGTGAACTGAACCTTGTTCTGAATGGGGTGGCACTCCCTCTTAGGGACAAGGTTCGCAGCTTGGGAGTGCTCCTCGACCCGGAGCTTTCACTAGAAGCTCAGGTGACAGCAGTGGCGAGGAGCGCTTTCCTCCAGCTTCGGCTGATCCACCAGCTGCGCCCCTATCTGGAGTATGACTGCCTCGCGACAGTAACACATGCATTGGTGACTTCCCGTCTCGACTTCTGTAACACGCTCTACGTGGGGCTACCCTTGAAGACGGTCCGGATACTTCAACTGGTTCAAAACAGAGCTGCCAGGCTGCTGACAGGGACTGGGCGTTGTGTTCACATGACTCCAGTTCTCTGTCAGCTTCACTGGCTTCCCATTGAAGTCCGGGCCCAATTCAAGGTGTTGCTGATGACCTATAAAGCCCTAAACGGCTTGGGTCCTGGTTACCTGAAGGAGCGCTTGCATCCATATATGCCCAGCCGCCCCTTGAGATCGGCGGGGGAGGCCCTTCTCCGGGAACCCTCCATGAAAGAAATTAGGAGGGTGGGTACTCGGAGGAGGGCTTTCTCTGCAGTGGCGCCTAAGTTATGGAACACGCTCCCCAGAGAGGTCCGCCTGGCGCCGTCGTTATTTGTTTTTCGGCGCCAGGCAAAGACCTTTTTATTCAAGCGGCATTTTAACTGTTAACATTATTGGTTTTATTTGGCCAGGGCGGCTTATTTTATACTGTATTGTTGTATTTTAATTTAATATTTATATTTTTAATTTATATTATAATTATTTTAACTTGATGATGTGAGCCGCCCCGAGGCTTCGGCGAATGGGGCAGCATAAAAATGTTTTAATAAATAAAATAAATAAAATATGTGATGTGCAGCTCAGTATAGACCTGGAAAAGAACAAACATTGCCCAATGCATCTACAGCTTCTCTTTAGGTTTCTTTTTAATGTTTGCTTTTGAATACATAATCCTAGTTTTGTAATGGTGAAAGGGGACTAAATACAATTCAGTCCAGCAGCCATCCTCTTTCAGTTGGTTTTGCCACACTCAGATGCCCTAATACTTTACAAGAACACCTATACATCTACACTATTGGTATCCTGACATATAAAGTGAACTCACTGTGAATTGTATTCACTGTGTTGTGCTCAGGTGTACAAGTCTGAGGAAAACCTGTTCTTCCTGTTTACAGCTGGTTACCTGTACATAGTATGACAGCACA